TATTATATTATATTATATTATATTATATTATATTATATTATATTATATTATGCAAGGCTCGGTTAGCTTTACACAAAAATAAGTGGTAGAAATGGCCTTCAAAGAGTTACGTTTTAGGTGGCTAATCTCAAGATCAAGAGTTCCAGTATTGACTATATTAGAAATGAGCATATCAGAGAGACAGCTCAGTTTCAGTGGTTTGGAGACAGTTAGAGAAGCATACTGACATGATTTGGACATGGAGGAGGAGGAAAGTGGATATGTTGGACAAAGGAATTTGGAAATAGAGTCGCCAGTCAATATTAAAAGAAAAAAGACGTCAGAGGAGGTTCATGGATCTAGTAAAGGAGGATATGTACAGGGTTGGTGTAACAGAGAAGATGCTCTGGATAGGGTGAGATGGAAGCAGATCATCTGCTTCCTTTCATATTCTTCTGTCAGCAACCCTAGCTGACAGAAGAATAAGAAGAAAGTGGATAAAAAAAGAGCAAAATACCTTCTCCTATATTTTATTCCCTCTATAAAGGAATGCACTTTTACTCTTTTCACTAATATAGTGTTGTTGTGTATTCTGCCATATTTGCCTTTTGAGAAACCACTTCCATGTCAGCAGCCCTTGGAGGACAATAAGTGCAGGCAGAATCCAGCAATGACTGGGTGCTTCTTTAACCTCCTAGGACCTGGCGTCCACATATGTGGACATCACAATTTGGGTTGTCTAGACCAAAATACAAAATTTTGCTCTACAAGGGCCTGATATTATACTGCTACTGTATTATCGAAATCCCATTTTTAAAAATAAGATAATCTGGTAATTTCTTTTATTTATATTCTTCAGGTCCAGATCAGCCCAAATAGCAAAGAGAAATTAAAAATGCCATGAAAGAGTTCGGGTCTTAGGAGGTTAAGAAATCATTGTAATTATGACCTAATAATGACCTAATATCATCTAAAAGATATTAGGTCATGACAAGTACTGATGACTGGTCACAACAAATCCTTCAATCTATAGAGCCTTGGAAAATAACCCCTGTGAGGCATATGTTGGTATACTGTTGTGCTGTATAAATCAAATCAACTTGAATTGAGGTGAACTGAACTTATCAATCAATCAATTTATTTATAAGCACATTTGGTCAACCTGTGTTGTTCTGTTAAAACCTCCCAATTCTTTCATCTTTGGGCTGAAGGAAGGACAACACTCGGTGTATAATTCTCAATCCACAATCATTTTATTCCATACAATTCTCATTATTCCATACAACACTTTTGCGCAATAACCATCCGGAGGGGAGATGAGCGCGGGAGGGTGTCCGCCTGATCTCGAAGTGTCTGAGCGTTCCTCACATTCTTATAGCTTCAGCCCCCCCGTCATAAAACCTAAACATCCACATTCTTTCTCTCTCTCAGTGAGCCTGAGTTATGACCTTGGCTTCCTGCGCAGTCTGTTCTGTTCTTTTCTAATAAGACAAATAAGGTGATGACTCTCTGAAAACAGTATTTCTTATAACTCAGCAGTATATGAAGAATTTCCATTGCATGTCACAGTCCTTGTAGTATTAGACACAATGACAACATGTTTCATCTCTCCTATATTTGATTCCATCATTTTTCACTTGTCAAACTATTGCTCCATCCAGCCAGCAGGATACAGAGGTGTGGGCCCACCCAGTGCTCAGGTGTCACTGGAACAGCAGGCCTACATGTTGCTGACAGATCCAGAGAGGCAAACCATGGCCTACTACCTGCAGGAGTACCAAGAAGGACATATAGGAGTAGAGTCTCTGACCATGGCTCTGTTTGAGCTTTTCAATACACATGCAAAGGTACATCGCTACACAGCACCTGACTCCATGTCTGTATAATCCTTTCTTCACTGTACTATAATCATATCTTATTTTTTTTGTTTTGTCTTCTTCTTTCTGCCAGTTGTCCATGTTGTCTGAGATGAGGAGACTGGTGGCGCCACAGGATCTGGACGTGTATGATAGACTGGTGTTGCAACATGGAAGGGAGTCTCACCAGTCCTGGCGTGGAGGCCTAGAAGTGTGGCAGTCTCAGGGCCACTGTAGCCATATAGCCCCTGTGATCCATGATGCAGAGCAAACCATCCCTGCTATGGTTGGTCCTTTATTTATTTATTTTAAGTACATTGTGTGGTGTAATGCCTTTAATTCTTTTGACTTGTCTTGAAGTGAAGTGAAGTAATCGCTACCTTATCATGGTGAAGGGGTTTGTGTGTCCCAGGAATCCCCGGGGCTATGTCGATAGGGGGCTTTTGCCCCTCGGTAGGGTCTCTCCCATGGCAAATTGGTCTTGGATGAGGAACCACACAAAGGGTGATTCACTAGACCCTTATGTGCACACAATCAAGGGAACAGTTCACTCTGCCCGAGATAGAATTACCTGGGTACCCCCCTGGAGCCAGGCCTGGGGAGGGTGCCCAAGGAAGAGCATCTGCTGGCTGGGCCTTAGCCAATGGGTCCTGGCCTGGTGTGGCCCAAATAAGGGACATGGGCCACCTTTCCAATAGGCCCACCACCCGCAGGATGCGCCGTAGGGGTTGGGTGCAGTGTGGGCCGGGTGGTGGCCAAGGGCAGAGGCCCTGGTGGACAGATCCCTGGCTACCAAGGCTGGCAATTAGGACATGGAACATCACCTCTCTGGTGGGGAAGGAGCCTGAGCAGGTGCGTGAGGTTGAGAGGTGCCCCAGACCCTTCGGATCAGAGAACAGGTCCTGACTGTCATCTGCGCTTACACAACAAACAACAGCTCAGAGTACCTGGCCTTCTTAGAGTCCCTGGGTGGGTACTCGAGGGTGCTCGCCCTGGAAATGCGGTTGTCCTGCTGTGACTACAGTGAGACCTGAAACGGTGTGATTGGGAGGAAAGGCCTGCCTGATCTGAACCTAAGCTGTTCTGTTACTAAACTCTTGTGCAAGGATATTTGGCATGTAGGCTGGAGCAGCCAGGGATTAAACCACCCTGAAGCAGTCAAATAATTTCTTGGTAGCAGGACCCCTGGGGTGGGTAGGTTGCCAATGAAAGGTGAAGAGTCTGGATATTGTAGGGCTGTCTTATTTGATATGCCTCTACAAAGTTGTGTGGACATCAGGGCCAGTACCTCTGACTTGGCAGACAGGGGTGGTGGTTCCCAAGAAGGACTGGAGGCAGGCTCCTACTATAGTTTCTCAGCCTCCCCGGGAAAGTCTAAAAGTCTATGTCAGGGTGCTGAAAAGTAGAGTCAGTCTGTTAGTTGAACCTTGGATGCAGGAGGAACAACAGTTTTTGTCCTGGTCCCAGAAGACTGGACCAGCTTTTTATCCTCTCAAGGATATATGAGGTTGCATTGGAGTTCGTGCAGTCAGTTAGATGTGATCTATGGACCCAGAGAAGGCATTTGACTGTGTCGCTTGGAGTATACTGTGGGAAGTGCTTCAGGAGATCAACAAACGGATTGGTGCTGCAGTTGCAGTAATGCAGACGCTCTATCGCTCTATTGTGGTGAAAAGAGAGCTGAGCGTAAAACCAAAGCTCTCAATTTACTGGTCACTCTACATCCCTTCCCTCACTGATGGTCACTAGCTCTGGGTAGTGACTGAAAGAGCAAGACTGCATATATAGGCAATGGAAATTAGCTTTCTCCAAAGTGTGGCTGGCCTCTCCCTTAGGGTGAGGAACTCATCCGTCTGGCAGGTTCAGAGTTAGAACCACTACTCCTAGACATCGAAAGAATCCAGCTGAGATGGTTTGGCCAATTGATTAGGATTGTCTCCTGGGCACATCCTGGTGAGGTGTACTAGGCATGTCCCACCAGGAAGAGCCCCTGAGGACCCAGGACATGCTGGAGAGCTTCTATATCTTGGGTGGCCTAGGAACATCTTTGTTCCCCCAGTTACGATGGAGGTGGCTGGGGAGAGGGAGGTTTGGGCTTCTCTGCTTATGCTGCTGCCCCCGCGACCTGACCCTGGATAATTGGAAGACGATTGATGGATGGATGAATGAATGGTTAACTCATGCTGGTGGACAGTTTTGTGTATGCCTGCATTTCAAATGCATCGTTTAATGTGAAGATTTCATACTTTAACGTTACATATATTTTCATTTTCATTTTTTTTTCATTTATTTATTTATTTCACACTTGGTACAACAGATCAAACAAACCAACCACACTTTCTATCAATAAAGCACTACAACCATGTGTGAAAAGGAGCAGGAAGAAGAAAATAAAACGTTACATATATAAAGTGTAGTGTGATGGTCTGTGTCTGTTTTGATGCTGTGGTAAATGGAACCATGAATTCTGCTGTCTACCAAAATATCCTAAAGGAAAATCTCCAGCCATCTGTTTATGACCTTAAGCTGCAGCGCACTTGGGCTCTGCAGCAGGACTATAACCCAAAACACACCAGCAAGTCCACCTGTGAATGGCTTAAGAAAAACAAAATAAATACTTTGGAGTCCTGACCTGAATCTGATTGAGATGTTGTGTCATGACCTTAAAAATGCAGGTCAGGTTGAAAAACCCTCCAGTGTGGCTGTATTACAACAATTCTGCAAAGATGAGTGTACCAAAATTCCTCCATAGGACGTAAAAGATCCAATATCAGTTATTGCGAATGCTTGATTGCAGTCGTTGCCGCTAAGGTTGTTGCAGTTATTAGATTCAGGTGGAAATCAGTTGTTCCTTTTTTTAGTTTAGATTTCACTACATAGGTTTGGATATTTTCCCCTTTATAATAAACACCTTCATTTAGAAACTGCAATTTGTGTTTACTTGTGTTATGTTTGTCTACTGTTTAAATTTGTTTGATGATCTGGAGCATTTAAGTGTGACAAACATACAAAAAAAACAGGAAATCAAGAACTTTTTCACATCACTGCATTTGCTTGTACAAATATCTAACAATTTATCCAATTTATCCGCCTTTACATAATTAACAGTTCTTAAATACATGTTTTTCTGTCTTTACCTTAATCTAACCTTGTTCTGACTCTCTGTACTCAACATGCACCATGTGATGGCTACAGATGTTCTCATTTTATTTTTCTGAAAAAGTCATTAGTCCGTGACAAGCTGTGTTTCTAAATATACAAGATCTAAAATCTTAAAGATAATGATTAAAGAGGCAACATTCACTATTCATGTTGGATTTTTGTATGTCACTGCCTTTTTCTGAATGACAGGATGAAACGCAGGCTTCAAGTGAACCTCTTCCACCCTTCAGAGCTGCTTCTGTCCAGGCCCAAAGAAGACCATTCCCGGAGAAAGAGTTCAATTGCAAGCCTTCAGCCAAAGTGGTGCAGCCCATTTCTTGCCTGCTCGTCACTGGTCCCACCCATTTACTCCAGGACTGTCCCCACAAGCCTATCAAATCCCTTCCCACCAGCCAAAACCAGCCAAAACCAGCCTCCCCCCACCATGCATGCCCTGGTCCCACCCACTACACTTCCCTTAATTCCCTTCAACACACCTGCCAGAATTCCTTCCAGCTCTCTGATTCTGAACACCACAATAATCCCCATTTTGATTACCATGTCCACCATCATAGCCAGCCCATTTCAGGTCACCACACCTGCCCAGGTTTCCTGCATTACCGGGACTTGCCCAGCTCTGCTAAACCAGAGGCATCTATCAAGTTTTCTTCTAGATCCAGCTCCTATGAAAAGTCTTCCGTCTTGTCAATGTCTGCATCCTCTTCAAAAGCAGCAACTCCCCTGCCATCCCCTCAACCATCTCATCATCCCTCACCATGTCCGTCCCCGTGCCCCTCTCTCATCACGCCTGCTGCTCCACCCTTTAGCGCTGACCAACGCTGCTCACCTGCTCTCACACAGAAAGTCATTGTAACAGAAATGAACCGGCTATCAGCAGATGCCAGACCACAGCAAAGAGGTAAATGGTGTGTATGTAATACTTTTCTGCTGTATTTGAGCACACAAATGTTCTTAAAGCATGTCTCATTCACCCATTCAGACACACTTTTGTTTAAAAGCTTTTGTCCATGCCCAAGCACTTTTAACCAACATTCTCTGATGGATCCATTGGGGGTAACTTGGAGTTAAGTAGGTACACAGTCTGTGTCTCTGTGTGTTTGTGTTGTTTCTCAGTACAGAGAAACACTCAACTTGTAAAATGTATTAGCAATAACCAGAACAACACATGTTTTGTGACTAGAAACATGTAGGCGGTTGCCCTGCTTATATCTTGATGCGTGCTCAATCATCCAGGGGAGGAAATCCCCAAAAGTTGGTTCTGTTCATCGGGACATTTTCAGTGGGAGAAACATTTCATCATCATCCAAGTGACTTCTTCAGTCTCAGCTGACTGCAGGTTTACACAACCTTATAAACAGTACATTTGCACAATGTACCTCTGATCAATGGCCATGAGTCCCATTCACAGAGAGTTGGGGAATGGCTGAAATCACAGCATGTAAGATGGTGACAGATGTACCTTTAGGCCCCTCCTCCATTCAGAGATGGTCTTTCCCTTTTCACGTAAATGGCCTCCTTGACTCCGCCCTCAAACCAGCGTTCCTCCCTGTCCAGGATGTTACATCCTCATCCTTGAAAGAGTGTCCACTGGCCTGTAGGTGTGCATAGACTGCAGAGTCCTGGCCTGACGAGGTGGCTCTGCTGTGTTGTGCCGTCCTCTTAGCCAGAGGTTGTTTGGTTTCCCCGATGTATAAATCCTGACAATCCTCCTGCACTTAACAGCGTACACTATGTTACTCTGTTTGTGTCGGGGGACCCGATCCTTGGGGGGGCCAGCTTTTGGTGCAGCGTGTTTTGGGGTTTAAAAGCCACAGAGACCCGGTGTTTAGAAAAAATGCGTCTCAACTGCTCCGATACTCCTGACACGTACGGGATCACTACAGGTTTTCACTTGGGCAGCGGTTGTCCTTCTCTCCTGGATCTGCTGGAGCTTTCTTTAGGAGCCTTCCCAGCTTTGACAAAAGTCCAGCTGGGATAACCACATTTACTCAGGGCCTTCTTGATGTTCTTCTGCCTCCCTGGCTGCAAGGTCTTAACACTAGCACCCCCAGGCTTCTACCTTTCTACCTATAAAACCCGAGAGCAGCCAAATGGCTGGTAGGCTTTTAGCTAAGCTTTAGCTTCAGCCAAGTGGAAGCTAAATTGTCTAGTCATTCATATGTAAATTGGGTCGTTATCTGGGAATTCTGGAGGGAGGGGAGTGGGGGTGTGTGATTGAGGGCGTGGGGGAGGGAGCTGCTAAAAGCTGTGCACTTTTGTGTTTCATCTTGATGCATTCTCAATCATCCAGGGAAATAACACTAGGAAAGCCACGAAGGAAACACTGGAGATAATTTTACAGCCGGGCAACACTAGGATAGTTGCTTAACGTTCCAGTGACGAGAAACACCGAGCCACCGTCTTGAATGCTGGCCAGGAGAGGCGGGAATAATGAGCCACAAGTGAGCAATCGCCCAGGCTAGAGAGAGCGAGGGAGAAAAACAACAACTAATACCTGTAGCCTGTTTGAGCCAGCCGGGGACACAGGGACCATGACAATTAGGCTTAAGACATTCCTGTTTGATAAAGCACAGAGTTTAGGTTGGATCCGATGATCCTCAATGCTCCATTAGTTCTGCTGGAACTGGTGTAGGTTACTGGGAGATTCCCATGATGCAGTGAGTGTTTCTTCTTCAGTCACCCTTTTCACTCACTGTGTGTTTAGAAACCTCTCTGCATATAAACATTAGTTACTATTAATGTCTGGCTCTCTTCCACGGTGTGTCTTTGTCCTCACCCCAACAATTGTGGCAGATGGCCACCCCTCCCCGAGCTTGGTGCTGGTGGAGGTTTCTTCCTGTGGAGTTTTTCTTTCCCACTGTCGCCAAAGCGCTTTTTTTCTATATAATTAAATTTGAATTAAATTCAGTGTATGCTAGCTAACTCCTCCCCCCAGGGGCCACCCTGTCACAGTTGTCAGACAGCGGCCAGACTCTGAGTGAGGACAGCGGGGTGGATATAGCAGAGGCAGGAGGCTTCAGTAAAGATGGCAGCCCACGACCTAGCAAAACTCACCGGACCCATCTGGAACAGCCAGGATTTCATGCACTTTCTCCAGGGATTGGCAGACAAGTGAGGGTTTTCATTACTAAGCAATCTTTCAGTAGCATATCTTTTAATGTGTTCAAAACAAGCAAATTAGTGCTGGTGTAAACCCAGTTTTAGTTTGTGATTTCAGAATTCACTGGATCACCTCTTTTGTTGCTTTAATTTCTATTTTAATCGGTCAAGTTTGCAAAGTAAAACCACAAGTTCTTACCAACAAAAGCAGAGGGAGATTAAAGTAATCTCCTTGGTGATTGTTTATGCAACGGTCTATGATTGTGATCTTAAGACCTGAAGTTACTTTGTGGGCACCTAAACAAAACTCTTAAAAGCTTTATTGAATTCAAAGGAAATCTTGTTATTAGCATTAGGCTAGAACACGCGAGGGAAAACAAAGGGAACACAGTAACATTAGACTCAGACTCATTGATGTGTAAATAAGGCTCCATCACCTGAAGAAAATGAAATGTTGTTTACTATATTGAGATTTTCAGGTGTTCACCTACAAGCTAGTGGCTAAATTGCATGCAGTAAGATGCTACTTCTTGCTCACAAATATATTTTTCTTAGCTCTCCTTGCTTTGTTTCCCAGCAGTCTCCTTCACCTGTACCAGTGCCTACTGCTGTGCTGGTGCGAGTGTTGAAAAATTCAAACACCTTGGGCATCGCAATAGAGGGTGGAGGAAGTACACGCCAACCTTTGCCTCGCATAGTCTCCATTCAGGTAAGAAAGCGTTAGAAGGTTTCAAGTAAGTCACTGTTTAAAGTCTTCCAAGCAACAAAATGTACTGAAACTGCAAAAAACAGTAAAACATAAAAAGAAAATCCCCTCTCGCCCTTGTGGGTGATCCATCCTTCAAGTGTGAATTTCAGATGTTGTTCCTCAGTGCAGTGACTCTGCACTGAGTGCTCCGATTACCACTGGGACCACTGTTACCTCCACCCTCTTATCTTCTCTGAGCCCTTGATGCTTTTCAAGCTTCTTGTGTTCCTTCTTCCTGATGTTGCTGTCATTCGGTATTGCTATGTACCCTCAGAAGATCTAGTAGATGATGTGAATGCAGCACTATGGAAGATATCTACCACCACCATTACTGAGACTAACAAGCTGATCTACAGCATTGCAGCAGCAATCAGTGAGAAGCTTAGCTACAAGTTGAACAAGGAGCAGTACCCTGCATGCAGAAGGAGACTAGAGGCCAGGATCAAGGTAGAACGGGGGGTAGCCAACCATCAGAGCTGCTGAAAGGTGCAACAAAGGAGGTGCCCAAGAAGTGCAGCAAGCTGTCCATAACTGAGGCCTTGGAAACTGCAAAGCAAAGTCTCACAGCCTTGGCCAGCCGCTTGAAGACATACACCAGAAAAATAGAAGGCAGCAGAATAAACCAGCCGTTCTTCACAGAAGCAGCCAAGGTGTACTCTGTGGCAGGTAACAATATGAGAACAGCACCACCAAGGCTGGAGACCAGGGGTTGGCAACCCTGGGCATGTGTGCCACAGCTGACATGTGAAGGGTTAACTGATGGTACAACCAAAGCTGGACTGGCACTCGGCCCACCGGGCATTTGCGATGTGATTTTTTGTTTTTATGGGCCGATGATTTTTTTTGTTTTGGGGGGATTGGGTTTTTTCTTTGTAGTGGTATAAACAATAAAAGGTGGTGGATTGGTCAGGATCTGGCCGGTGTGTAAAAATAAGTCAGTTGTTTGGTGGTGGCTGTGGCGGAGCTTCCACAGAGGCCAGTGGGTGGATGAGGGAAGGGGAGGCAGAAGGAGGAGAGACGCGAGGCGGCCGCCGGTCCGAGCGTCAGGTGAACTGAACTTCAGGTAAGAAGTTATGACCTGCAGTCTATCTGGGTCAGATATGAACCAAGTTTAGGTGGAGTTTATTTTCGTTGTGCTGGGAGAAGGACGCAACCCATAACAGCAATGCTGAGTGACTAGTGGATCTAAGAACAGACCCCAGCAACCTCGCTGAACAGGGCCCAGTAATCATCACAGTGGCAGACATTCCAGATGAAGAGTGAAGAGCTGGACAGCAACAAGCCCCGACATGGTTCACCATAGTCACGTTTCATCACTCATCCAGGTGACTTCTTCAGTCTCAGCTGACTGCAGGTTTCTCCAATCTTATAAACAAACTTTTCACTGGCAAGTAATGTCCCGTCACAGCAGAATGGAATTCCAGCAGTGATAGGAATGAGCGCAGGAAACCCTGGTGTCTAGATGCAGGTGGTGGAGATCAAGATGGAGGCTTGAATGGAGCCTGAGTTATATGGGAGACACATCTTCAAGGTAGACGAACAGATGAACAGTGAGATTTAAAGTGCGCAGAGTGGAGGCTGAAGAAAGCTGAAAGATGATTTGACTGGACCAGTGATGTCAGCAACGAGTTTGAAAGCATGGGAAAGCGTGACGCATGAATTAGTCACCAGACACGAGGGAAGCAGGCAGATGTGTGATTACACATCTGCCTTATTGAACTAATCATAAACTTTTATCTATATTTTAAATTCAGTCCAAGTGTGTTTCAAGCTATAGTTACCTTGGACTGTACTGTAACTTCAAGAACAACAAACTGTTCTGTCCATGAGCGCCTCAATCCTGCTAACATTATTGTCTTTCTATTCTTCTCTCATGTTCCCGCTGACAGAAAGGAGGCTCGGCTCATAACTGCGGCCAGCTGAAAACTGGCCAGGTCATTCTGGAGGTTGATGGCATCCCCTTGCAAGGCCGGGAACACAAAGATGCTGCCAGGATCATCGCTGAAGCCTTCAAGACAAAAGAAAAGGGACACATTGACTTCCTGGTAGTTGAGCCAGGGCTCTAGTATTGGAACTTTGCACTTTATGCAGCTTGGTTTAAGAAAACACTGTTTTACGTGAAAGATGCTAAACTCCATATGGTGTTGTCCTATAATCAAGGCTCATATTTTATTGTCAGGGAAAGGATTATTGGACTGATGTATCAGGTACTTGTTGATTGCACTCTACAGAAATTTGCACAATTTAAAGTAGGTAGTATGATAACAATTGTTATAAATACCTGTGCTATTTGCAGTTGTTTAGTTTTTTCATTTTATTTAATTGTGTTTCACTAGAAGAGCCATTAGCACTAATTGATGCTACAGCAAGTAATACTGACAACAGCCAATCATGCCAAAGTGAGTGAACCTGGTCTTTGTATGCTTTTCATTGTTTAGAGAATCCAGAGAAACAGAACTGTTTACAGTCTCTTATGGCAAAGAGCAACAGTATTATTGCACTTACCAACTTAGCATGTAGAACTTCAATACAAGCATACAGTTAGGTCAGATTAATTGCTTAATTAGAAGATCCATTATATGGACTAAAATGTTGGGCCACCTACACACTTTATCTTCAGTAGCTTTTAATACATCTCATTCCACAGTTATAGGCATTGATATGGAGTCGGTCTGTCCTTTGAGCTTCCACAGCTTCCACTTTTCTGGGAAACCTCTCTGCAAGGTTTTTCACGTGTCTGTGTGAAGTTTTGCCCATTCGTCTAGAATAGCAATTCTGAGATCAGCCACTGATGGTGGAAGAGAGGACCTGTGTCACAATCTCCATTCTAGTTCACCCCAACAGTGTTTGATGGGGTTGAGGTTGGGGTTCTGTGCACCAACCAATCATGCATTTCTGTACTTGCATTATGGTAAATGGTGAATGAACTGATTCCTATATAGCGAGCTGTTGTTTAGTGAGTGAAAGCTTACTGAGCTGTCAGTCAGACTAGAAAAATCCTTCAGTCCATTTTGGTCCGTTTTAATTGCTTCTAGGATTGCCAGTAATAAACATAATGAGTACCACGTGATCACAACTGGCAGGATTTAGTGATAAAAGCCAATTTACAATTAAAGATGACCAAGCAACTCAAGCAGACTAATAAGTAATAAGTGTTTTTTCTTTTTTTAGTGACACTAGTTTTACAGTATTTAATAGCTCCACACAAATACAAATGGAATACTATCTTGTACATATTACATGAAAAACTAAAACAGTTTAATTCTAATAAATATTATAATAACACTTTATTATATTATTATAATCCTACTCCACCTTTAACTCTTTTTTTTCACCCAGCTGTATATGTTTGTGCCATCCTCACCATGAAACCATGTCCAAACACATATACTGTAGATATCAGTGCAAGTCTGACATGAATCACCATATATGATTATGATATTCATGTTTATACAGAAAGCAGTTCGACCAACTACTTACTGAATGGAGGAACTCACAGTTTGCCCATACAGCTGTTGCTGAAAATCATCTAAAAATGATATAAAATCACTGGACGTCATCATCAACAGTGAACTGCATCACTCCTAATTAGAGTTTACATGGATTTATTGCAAAACTGTTGAAATAAAGTGCTTTGGCTTCACTGGGGATACTAACAAAGTTGATTAATATTTATAAAAGATAAAATCATCCCTGTTCTTATCATTGATAAATACTATGAAATATTGAATGATTGTATAATGAAATAGCTACAGAAAAGAGTGATGCTTCTGAAAAAGTAAAAATCATTTCAATGTCTTAGTCTTAAAATGGTTGTGAAAGGTTTTCAATCATTCATCAGTTGAAGGGACTGACTGACTCATGTTTTGACATATATGGTGAAGCTTTCGATTGTTGCTGTCTTTTGTTGAGTCTGTGAGTTGCAGAGAAAACTGCAATATGAGTGATTTTTCTGCTATGAGAATTGTACCAAAATGATTGAGTCCATAAATGTCTGGGAACGTAGGAAACTAGTTGTTGGACTTTTGGGAGAGAAAACCTGTTCAGGCAGCCGATACACAGACGTCTTTTATTATAAAGCCTTGCTGTTTTAATAGACACAGTGTGCCACTTAGCATTGTGTTGCTGAAACATGTACGCCCTTCCATAACAAAAGGTCAGTGGCAGCTTGTCTTGCACACTCATCTCCCATCAGTCTACCATCAAAGACCGGAGGCTTATCCACAATGTGCATGCACAAACAACCAGAAAAAGCCTTCTCAGCTTGACAGGTTCCAGTGTTTGTTAAGGAGACACTTACACACCTGTGAAATCAAGAAACACTTTATTTTAAAAATGGGATCCAAGGCAAGAGCATCTTTCAGCAACAACAGCCAGTCTCAGCTAGAAAATGGTAGTAATGTGAACAATGGAAGCAAACAGACAAGAAGCAGTTGTGAAACATGAAAGGTTTTGCTTTCACTTTGGTACATGCTTAATGGATGCCTTCAGATCTGGTCTGGTCCTGATGGAAAACCATTGTTTTAAAGATTGAAAAATATCAGTTTTTGAGATTTGCACATCTTTGCAAAATCATGACCTAATTTTAAAACTTGCCAGACACAAAATGACTTTGTTATGTCCTGAGCTAATAAAAAAATAAACCGGAAAGAGTTAAGAAAAGGTAACTCGTAGATTCTTCAAACAAGCACCACATATCCCAGTTGTTTGGTTTTGCTGCCGTCACAGATGTCATG